TGAGCAGCTCCATGATCTCCTCACTACTCACTAAAGCTGCAAAGAATGGGAAGTGCTTCCCTGGGACACAGAGGCATCAGTGGCGGAGACAGTAGGATGACAGAAGACATCAGAGTGACAGAAGGAAGGGGCAGTGTGACCCAGACAACTACTTCCTCCTCTCTACATCCAGACTGGGTGTCAGGGACACTTGTCTAGCAGAGGTCTGTCATAGCCCAGACCCACCTGAAATTCACCATCCCCTAATCAGCTGCCTAGAGCCTGACCTCAGACTGGTGCAACCCTTTCCTTCAGCCTCGCTTCCACCTCCCCACCTAATTGCAGGGGTAATCTTCTTTTCTAGGCTCCTCTCTTCTCTTCCCCAGAGAAAAGAGCAGTGTAGAAGTTTGGGGAATGTGTCATGAAAGGGCTGTGCCATCTCAAGACAGTCCACCTTAGCTTACTTTCTGTGTGCCTCAACTTCACTGTCCTCCCAATTTTGCCAACCTAGCCTTGGTGCTCACCATAATAGATCATGTTTTTGGGGCTGTGTTGGAAGTTGAAACCTGTAGCCCTGGCAGGGAGAGCGGCCACTCAAGTAAGCAGGGCATGTACCATATTTACATTCTGGTGTTCTGGTTTATGACAGTGATATGTAGGGCTATCTGTCTTGGACAGAGAGAACTATCACTCAGGTCTGTCATCTGCCCAGTTCCTGCAAGGGCAGAGTAACCCCACACCTTGACCCCTTGCAGGAGCTACCTGACAGTCTTCTCTTAGACTTCTGCTCAGGGTTCCACAAAGTGGCTGGAGACTGGGGGCCACTAGTCCTTACCCATCTCATTGTCCCTACACCTCTGCTACTGGATACCAGGGGTCTTGCTATCAGTCACTCTAATGTCCCTATGGGGGAAAGACATGGAGATATGGCCTCAAGGATCATGAGGAGATTGGAAGGAAATACAAATAGCTCCAGGAAATCATGGCTGCTCAGAGTGAAGAGCAGGGCAATCAATTCATGAGAACCTTCCCACCTAACCTCCCATCAGTTCCCCAAGGCACCCATTCCAGGCCCAAGTGAAGAAATGACAGCTATCTCTCCCTTCCACAGAGAGTCGCCATGCAGCAACATCACCGACAAATGACTCATTCAGAGTGAGTTCTGTGACTAGGTGAGAGGTGGCCTCCATTAGCTGCATGGTGACCCCTGAGTTGTCATAAAGGGCTGTAATATGCAGTGCCATCTCCCCAGTGCTCCTTGAATGGAGTAGGAAAAGGATACCAGGCACTTTCCATAGCTCCTCAGGGAAAGAACACCTCCAAATTCCTTTTTCAACGCCCCCACGCTCCTACCAGTCCTGAATGAAGGGAGTAAGTCCTTCTGCTCTGCTTCTATTCCATCACCTTCTGCACTCTTTGTCAAAAGTTACAATTTTGGTCCAGCAGAAGTCTCTTAGGAGCTCACAAGTCATTTTCCTTGGCTACCTGAAGCAATGGAGATGCTAATATTCTGGGGGAGGATAAACAGAAGTCAATCATAGACTGTCACAGAGAAGCCATGAGCAGAGGGGAACAGAGCATTCTCTGGCTGTAAGGATCATGACTCCTACAAGATGTACACAAACAAACTGGCTTTATCACTCTTGAATTCTCTTCAGGGCATCAAGGACTGACATAAGAGTTGGGTGTGGGCTGTTCTCAAGGAGTCCCTGAAACTCCTTGTGCTTCCTACCATGTCAGCTTACTGCCCTTGTGATTCTGGTGGGAGAGGAGCTTAAAAGGAGGCTCCATTTCCTCCAGAGAGGGAAGAAGGCCAGGTCTGGATGGATGGCAAGGAGGACACTGCAAGAGTGTGTTTAACTTGGACCTCTTTTTCTGAGATGACTGTTTCAGGAATCTGGAAGAAGGAAGAGGGATCATTTTTCTGGTTCCCCAGGTACCCAGGCCTAAAAAACCTTTGTTCATCCAAAGAGAGTCCGGAGATCAAACTAGGGAGAAGTGGTTTGGCTAGCTGATAAAACTTAGGAAGCCAGTGGAACTGGTGAGCTGCTCAGTTTCCCTATTATCCTTGTGACCATGTAGACATACATCTCTGCTGGGCCTGGACAGTGTGGGCTGGGCTATGGAGCCTGGATATGAGGTTATAAATATTATTCATAACTGGAGAAAATTGGAAGCAGGCTTACCACAGGTTCCCTGAAGGTTACTTTGCTGAGATCATGACAGAGTCAGAGATAAAGGGAGAGTCTGACTTTTTAGATGAGATGGGAGGATCCTAAAGCCAACACAGTGTCATGACAACTTGAGGGTCATGGGGAACTGCAGGACAGATAGGGAGACCTATCTACATGAAGAGCCAGTGAGACATTTGCTAGTTTAGGAAGCATATTTGTGGTTCTGATGATGACCTCAAGAGAGAGCTGTTGAGTGAGGGGTCTACCCGGCCCCAGCTAACCCAGATCCCTGGACCTATTGAAGCCTGTGTCCCTGACTAGCTCAGAATGGGCAGCGTTGGATTCCAGGGTTCACTTCTGTGCTGAGGCCACTGGATAGAACCCTTGTCTCCCTTCTTGGTCTCATTGACCATCTTGCCCCACTTTAATGCAGGTAGGGAGGTCAAAGTCCCACTGCAGGCCAGAGTGGAGGCTGCTGAGCAAGCAGGGCCCTTGCCAAGAGGAAGGCTCAGTGCACAACATGAACGAAGGACCCCGATCTACCTTCTTGAGAATTTCAAGTTGGGGGGAAGCAGGACACTGAATCTCACACACAGTGCTCTGAGGCACAGGTGTTCAAATCAAGCGGAGCTGTCTGTTCCTCCTACCCCAACCAGCTCTGGCAGGAGGCAAGTCCCTGACCTTCCACATGGAGGCTGCCCCCACTCACACTGGTCTCCCTGGGTCTGGAGCCCAGGCCTGAGCCATTGTTCAGGATCAACACTAGACAGAGCAGTCACACCTGAACACAAGGCTCAGGAGCAGCTTGCATTCACTTTTCTTGTACTTAGCAGCTGCAATACATGGAAAATTGTGCTATGCTGTCAACTACTCTAGAGGCCGAGGCAGGAGGGTCATACACTGTAGCCCAATCTAAGAACTTTGCAAGACCTTCTCCCAAAGTATAACAAAGACTTGGAGATGTAGATCAAAAGTACAGACGCTGACTCCCATTCACCAGGCCCTTTTAATATTACTATTAAAAAATTAAGGAAAGGCAACACCAGACTCAGGGCTCTCCTATCTCAGCCAGACTGGGATACCAGAGGTTTACATCTCCACTCCTCTCTTCAGCTTTCCTCTCCTTTGCTCATCTTAATGCCAGCCTGTCTTCCTTCTGGCTCTTCTCCTACCCCCCTACTAAAGCTCTACGTATTGCACCTCTCTCCCTCAGGTAGCAGCTACCAGGGGAAGCCTTAGAGTGGAGTGTGGCTGGGATGTCTTTCAGGAGTGGAGCTGGAGGTTTACTGCTTCACTGTCAGATCCCAGGACCAGTACAACAAAGTGGCCTGACCACTGCATTCCTACATAGTAAGGAAGAACAGGAAACACACTTAGAGTTTGATTTTTAGGGAACACATTGTCACCCTGTATGCCCATAAGCATCTAGGAAAAGGATTCTAACACTACATTTTTAAACATTTATAGTGATTTTCATTGTATGGTTGAATTAGCCACTTTAAAATACTTTAATATATATATATATATATACACACACACATATATATATTTGAATATATATTTCCTATATTAATTTCCCTTCTATCACTAGGCATCAGACAGGTGGTAGCTCCTTTTCATGTTAGGAAACTGAGATGCTACTCACTCAGAATAAACAGGCTGAGATTAGAGAATTTATTTTTACAGGTCAATGGGACAAGACAGAGGTGAGTAGGTTCACTGCCTACTTGAAATTTTTGTAAGAAGAGACTCAGTCCCCAGGGTCCCAGGGAAGGCAGTCATCCTGTGCACACATCCATACACCTCCAAACTTCACTTCCAGGAAGCCAAGAGGTCCCTGCACTCCGTGGAAGGCACTAGGGCACTGAGGCAGGCTTTTCCAGACCTATGGCATGTGAGTCTTGTCTCCCTTCCTCTCCTGCAGTCTAACTTGCTGTTCCCCAACCAAGGAACATGGAAAGGAGCCTGCAACACTCATGGCTGAGCGTACAGAATGTGCCAGATAAGAAAAGATGGTGTTTCAGCCTGGAGGTGCCAGAGGGCTGAGGGTAGGAAAGAAGAAAAACAGGGCGGTGAGGCTATAGAACGGCTGCTTCCTGGGGCAGACACGTACCTCTGTCTCTATGTACTTCATGTACTTGTTTCTACCGGCTTTGTCTCTGTTTTCTTTCTTCTCTATCTCTGTATCTATCCTTTCAGCTCCTCGTCTCTCTGTCGTAACCTCTGTTCTGCATCTCTGCCTCTTTCATGCACATGCATAGCTTTCTTAATCGCCCTCAGTTCCATTCCATCCAGACCCAAGGTTCACGCCAAGTACCAGGAAATCCTTATTGCTGCCTCATGTCTGAGACCGCTCCCCATAAGCCTCTCTCTTCAGAGAAAGTCTGCATCAAATACTGAGACACTGCCCTCTTTGTATACAAAAGTGCAAACTGCAGGTCCTGCTTTGCCTGTTGGTAGTGGTGTGGTCTTCAGTGAGAGAATCATTCTTCTGTGAGTCTCAGTTTCCCCATCTGTATAATAGGTACAGAGTGTCATTACTTTGGTGGACTGTTAGCCCTGGAGTACACATGACAATACCATGACAATACTCTGACCATCTTAGAATACTCCGTCATGCCCTGCTGGACCCTTCCACTCTCCTGCCTGACCATGAAATGTTCTAGTGAGCTGGAATGAGGGTTAGACCTGTGGCTGTGGTGTCACTGAGTACATGAAGTAAGAGGTTTAGTGCAAAAGAAGAGACCAAAACAGCACTAGGAAGGAGTAAAGACTGGGACATGAAGGAAGAAGAAGCCTGCTGGGTACTGGGAGCAGGGTCAGGAAGTGTAGGGGGTGGGCAGCTCCATGACTTCCCTGGGCTCCCAGCCCCACAGGGCAGCATTCCTGGCTGCCATCCTGCTGCTGCTGAAGGTGGAGGTGGTAAACACTGAGCAGGGAAGCCCAGGCCCAGGGGAGAAGAGCCTAGAAGGGAAGATGCCCCCTGCAGGTAGGTGAGGAGGTGGAGGCCAGTCTGGAAGAAAGGGCTCACCAATCTGAGGTCAGGCTCTAGGCAGCTGATCTGGGGAGGGTGGCTCTCAGGTGGGTCTGGGCTATGGCAGACCATGCCAGGTCCCTGTTATCATGGAGTGACATGAGGGCGTCATGTGAATAGATCTGGAGCAGGAGTTCCTCACCAGGGAACAGCACAGGCCAGCTGCAGGTGCATGCAGCTCCTGTGTGCATGAGCATGCGTGTTTGCTCAGGAAGAGGGCTGTGGTTTTCGTCACACTGGAAGGTGGGGTTACATTCTGGAGGAGGCAGCATTACACTGTGTGTGTGTGTGTGTGTGTGTGTGTGTGTGTGTGTGTGTGTGTGTATGTGTGTGTGTGTAGGGTGTTTGAGTCAGGCTGTGCTTGAACCCAGGTCAGAAGAGATCTCTGGATAGAGCACTACCTCTTTGTTTCTTCCCCAATCTGGTTCAGGGTCGACGTAGGCACAGATCAGGGTCAGGCCCTCCCTTCCCTGCCCTTGTATCCTGTTCTAGAGCAGGGCCAAGAGTTGTATGAAGAGCACTTCATGGCCTCCTCCGTGGGTGAGCAGTGGCAGGAGGTGGATATGGCCCAGCAAGAGGATGACATCACCTCAGAGACAGCAGGTGTCCAAGACCACCTTTTTGATCTCACTTTCTGCTCTAACCTGGCCAGCATCATGCTTTTTTTATGAGAGACATTGAGGCTGGAGCTTTGGCCTGGCTCCTGGAAGAGGAAGACGTGGATATTTACCTTTGCTTCTTGATCACCTGCTGACCTCCTGTCTGCCCTGAGCTCCAGCCTACGGTTCCCCTAAAGGATGCCCACTCTGCTCCTGCACATCCTGCTCCCTGTCTTTGTTAGTGGCACCTGTCCTTAGGGTGCAGCCTCAGTGTGCCCTTCTGCCTGATGCCACCACAGGCCATAGCTTTGTGTTTCAGGGCCAGCGAGTTCAGACCCATGCCCTTCTCCCTCTGTAACTCCCCTGTTTTGTTCAGTATAGCAGATTAGAGGGAGGAGCACCGACAATAAAACAATTGGGAGCACCTTTCTGGGACTTAACCAAGCCCTTGGGTCTCTAAGTGAGCTGTTTAATTGCACAGCCTTTGACCCTCTGCTTGACCTTCAGACCCACCAACTCATCAGCCACTGATTCTCTCCCATTCTAAGGTCCAGGGAGCCCTTCTTGGCATTTCTCTCTCTCACTTTTCCTGACTCCTAGGAATAAAATGCAGCATGTGAGTCATTAAGGGATGAGAGAAGCCAAGGGTCAAGTGTTTTTGTTTTGTTTTCAGTAAAGAAAGGGATGAAAAGAAGGAAGCTATTGAGTGTCTGTGTTGAAGTCTTTTACCTTCCAATTACAGAGATGGCAGCCGCTGGAGGGCTTCATAAGGGCATCCCAAGAACAGTGGAGATGTCTGGCAAAGAAATGGTGTTGCTTTTGGGGGGTGGTCAGTGGCCTGGATGGCTTCTGTTGGTGGAGTATGAGGATCCTGAGAGTTCTGGTTGATTGGGTTTTCTACACATCATTTGAGGAAAGAAAAATAGTCCAAGGAAGGGTAATGGGCAAATTGGAGCCAATAGGTCATTAAGACAAGGTGTGTGTGGGTGCAGAGGACCGCTGTGCTAGTAGATGAAGAGGGGAGCAGGAATAGAATGCTCACGGGTTATATGGAGTATTTCCCACTTGTAAGTCATTTAGTGCAGCACCAGGCATGTGGGGCAGGGCCTGGGCTGCAGAATAAGAGGGATTGCGAGAGAAGTGAGTCTGACGCAGGGTACTTCTAACGTGTCTGTGTGTTGAGGAATTCAGCATTGCTGCTGCACAGGGAGCAGGGCTACAGAAATGGGTTATGTCAAGATCTGTGAGGGGGAAAGGAGTGTGTGGTAAGACTTTACTGTCTCATTTTAAGGGATCTCAGTTTCTAGAACATGAGAGAAGAAAAAATTTAGGCTCACTTCGTGGAAGAAACTGGAAGTAGTTCTTTCTTGTTTTTTCTTTTTTGGGGGAAGGTTTTGAATCTTGTCGAAGAATTTGCAATAACCTGCAGGATGATTCTGAGGGAGAGGACAATAGCCACTGTCTGTGGCAGTGACTGAGTGATCGAGTGGGATCCAGGAGGAAAGTTCTCGAAGTTTTAGTCATGTGGTTCTCCTCTGAGAAGAAGCAAGTTGTGGAAGGAGCAGGCAGCTGCCTACCTGGGCATAGCTTCAGAGGAAGAGCCAATGGGGGTTGAGGTTGGGCAGCGTGGTCTCCGCAGGGTACTGTGATAGCCCCTCGTTATATGCCTGCATAGAATATGAGCTACCTTTAGGTTTCATGGTCATGGTCACTTGGAAGTCTAAATGTCCTCTGTGTGGCCACTCAGACAACTTCATAGCCTTTGTCACCAGTTCTGCACTGACATACAGCCTAGTCCAGAGGAAGGGGCACTTGTTAGAAGATCTAAAGCTGTCCTAGAAAGTGGGGGATCTATGCCATAAGAGAGGGAAACTTCACAAGGCCATCTGTTCAATTGGAATGTGAAAGGAGAAAGTTATGCAACTGTGCTTGCATGAGCAACTGTGGGAGGGACACTTAAGGACAAGGCCTCTTGATTGCTGATAACAGACATGGCCTTGGTGGACCTGCAATGCACTGGCCCAGCCTTCCTACCACCTCCCGCAGTGTCGATGTTATTGTCCAGGAACGTGTGGGAACCTCTGTAGAAAATTCTGCTCTGTAACGACAGGACAGGTTATCAGTGTTCCAGACACAAGAGTGCCCCCTGTAGGGCACACATGTCTCATGCTGCAAAGGATTTGGCATTACAAAGGTGCCATGACCCCGAAAGCTGCCTGGCTGAAGAAGCTGTCCAAGAACTGGGAGATCTTAGAAAGACTATAGGAAAGGCTGTTTCCTAGTGAGCCATCTACTCTAGGGCCCAGAGATCTGTGGAGTGAAAGGCAGTGTCAGGCACATGGAAGAAATTACCGACTGGCTCCACAGAAGGTTGACTAGAAAGATAGTCCCTGGCATGGCAAGGTATCAGTCTGATGAGTCTTTATACATGGGGGGCACATGAAAATTGCTTGGAAAGCAAAGAGAGAGAGGAGCCATCATTCCCTTTCCTAGTCTCAGAGCTATTATCCTCATGCGTTTTTTCCTAAGGCATCCCAGCAAGTTGGAATACCCCCAGTTTCACAGACTGAGTGTGTGGCTCCTGCCTTTTCACCCTTCTACCACCTTGGGTCTATCATTTCTTGGTGGAACTAAATGAATGACAGTATCAGAGGACGGGGCCTGGCTTGAGATTGCCTGATTTCAAATCTTGAGTATGCTATTTTGTGTTGCTGGCAGTGAGTAAGTCATTTAACCCCTCTGTGTCTCGGTTGCATCTCCTATAGAATTAAAGTGATGCTAATCAGAATCAAGTGAAAGAATTTCTGCCAAATGCTTTCGAAAATTTCCAGCATGAGGGAGGCAGTGAACATTCAGGATTATTGATTTGGCTTCCTCAAGGTTAGTCATGCTATCATCATGTCATATCGGGTGTTAGATAAAGAGGGAGGCAACTTAGGGGTCATGGAATGGAATTTTCTTGTTTTATGGTTGAAGAAACATAAGAGCAAGACAGCCAGGTGACGTGTCCAAATTAGTGCCTGTTGTGGATACTTTGTGTTTCATAGCTGAACTGTGCCCTGCTGAGGAAGAAGGAGACTTTGAGATTTTCTATTTAGGTGGTCTGTTTTTATCTTTCCCGATTCCCATCCGTGTGCATTCCAAGTAGGGCAGGGTGAGTAGAGGGAGAAAGGTAGAAGGGAATAGGTGCATCGCAGCTCTCACATACGGCATGTTGAGTGCTTGGGCCTCTGTGACATACACGGTGGTCAGAGTGGGATTCCAGAAGGATCCTATGTTCTCTCTTCATTTCCATTTAGGGTGAATTTGCCTTAGAGACCAAGCTAGAATTAGTGACACTTGTCTGGGATCTTTCCCTACTCCTTTTCAGGGCTATTTTGTCTAGACCTTCACCCCAGTGGAGACTTCCTTACTGGAGCTCTTGTCTTATCTTCCTTTTTTATCCCCTTTGTTGATACACACCGCTGCACAGCAGAAGGAACTTGTGTCTCAGCCTTCTAGGACTAGTCTTGGGAGACTGGCTCAGAGAATTGCTCATGCTTACAGTCTGTTGCCTTGGAATCAAGGCCCAGGAAACCACTCCCTCAGGAGAAATCCATAGATTTTGGGAAGGGGTGAAGAAGAAGCCAAACGTGTCACTTGGCTGTTCAGATACCACCCTAGTTGCGGGTGCTATGTGCAGACCCCTACAGGTAACTCTAACCTTCTGTTCTTTGGTTAAAAGGGAAATTGAAGACAGTCATTTCATTTCTGCAACATCAAGTATGCCCCTTCAAGTATGTGCACCATTTTGTAGGACTTTACCTTTCAGAAAAAAAAAAATCCTCAGGAAAAGGAGGCTTCAGATGCCATATTGTTTACTAGGAAAAGAAGATCTAAAGAATACTAAGTGTATAATTCAGAGAGCTTGGGAAACTTCTAGTCAAATAAAATTGCTAGGGAAGAAAATAAGGTGAGAAGGTGGAAGTCTTCAACTTTAGAAGTACAGAGCTGTTTGACAGCAGTTCAGGAGAGTGTTTTTCTAACAGCGGAACTTAAAGAGAGATAGTAGTGGAACATTCTGTGGTGGACTAGATGGCCTTGAAGAGTTGATCAAGGGCTAAGCTCAGCTATGACAAAGGATGGATGAAGAAACAAAACCAAAGAGCTGGAAAATGATGTAAACAGCTGGCCTGGGGAAAGAGGGCTGAGATGAAACTTAATAAAAAACAGCTAACATGCTACATTGGCCACATTCATCCTAGTCACTTTGTGACCAGAATCCAAGAAAGAATTAAGTTCATGAACCGAGGTGCACTGTAATACGAAGCTATGAAACTTTATTCCTGTAACTTTTTCACATTGCAAAGATCAGCTTGCCACTGCTACTGTTATGGGGAGACTGGTCTTTAGAGTGGGGCTATGGAGCATCCCATTAGAGGAAACAGAAAGATGAGCCCATGTGGCAGTAGGTGAAGAAGAAAGTCTTGATCCAGCTTGTTGAGGTGTTCATCATTTTGGAAACTGTTCCAGACCTGACTGCCCATTTTGAATGCTTTATTCTTCACACCGTATGTTCTGCTCATATCTGTTCTTGCAAAGAACGCTCAGACTCTGGTGTGCTAGATGGAGCTGTGTAACATGTGTAATTAGGATCTGGGGGCAATGACTGTGTCAAGCTCAGCTGGTGGCATTCAGCATCCTTCTTGCTCCAGAGAGGCTTGGCTCCAGGAATGCCTCTCACTAGGCTAATATGCCTGGGATAACAGCAACCTACATAAGCAGGGCCGCACTTGATCTGGAATCTGTGGATCTGCCTGCTCTTTTACTTATCCTTGTTATTTCTCCCTGATTCCCTTTGCCAGCACCTGATCACTTCTCCAACATCCTTCTTGGAAGGACCTGGCTACTCAAAAGACAGACACTTCTCAGAAGACTACCGCAGCCATCTCTTATGATGTGGAGTGACAGACTACTGCAAATTGACTGGAAATGCAGAAAAAGAAATAGGAATGGGGAAGGAAAAAAATCTTCACAATACAGTATAAGGGATGGAAGAAATACTTCAAATGCATGAAAATGAAGTTCAATTGAT